GGATTTAATTGTACTCCTTTTGTGAATTCAGAATCAAGTAATTTTGTTGAGTGAGAAAGTTCAATCTTAAGAGTACCTCAAATTCGAAATTTATATTTTTATATTATGCGGATATGAATATTTTCTTTTAAAATTCCTATCCTTTCCTCTTCTAATTCCCCCTCCCCCTCCCCCCTCTTTTCCACAACAGGAAGAAGACGCTGAGATAGTGGTTCCTCATTGCAGAGTTTAAAATACATTGTTATCGCTTAGGCCACATGTCTTGGCTTTGAGCCACTATTGATGTCACGCAATTCAAGTACAGATTTTTTATACACCTTACAAATGTTACGTCCAAAAAAACTCTTCAAGACATAGAAAAAAATATGGAAAATATTCGGGATCCAGAAAAAGATTGGCTTTCAAAGGACTGATCTTCAAGGTTGGCGAGTTTGTGAAGGTAGTGCCTCCCTGCATGGAACTCTGTTATGAACACGTGACTTAGACCTTTGGTCAATCGGAATAAACACGCTGAAGCAAGTACTACACCCTTCAAAAAAGACCTAGAAAGAATCAATAAGCTGTGAAGGAAACCTTAAGTCAGAAATAAGAAACGAAACAGCCGTATTGTCTATCGGATTGGACTTCTAATTCCTGTACATAGATGAGCATTAGTGTATACTGATGGATGTAAGTATAGTGCTTGTCCGATGACGCATGCTACGTAATAAGACACCCACATTTTTATCTCTCACGTTCTGCTCTGCCTCGACAAGTTAGAAATTCACTCGTCCAAATCCATCGTTTCTTTAACAATTTCCTCCATAGGACGAAGATTTTATGACTTTATAAATGGTTTTTCATTGAAAGGCAAAAGAATGAAGAATATTTTGGGATTTTATGTCATCGTGCTTGCCTTTTGCGGGTTTGAATCCGCCATGAACGTCAATGATGAACCAGACTTATGCGCGTCTCTGTGCTCAGATCTTTCCAATGGTTTCCCAGAGGAAAATCCTAAAAATTCAGACCTAAACAAGGTAAGATTTTAAGAAAAGCTACAATTATCGCGGTTTAGTGGGTCGGCAACGAAAAATACTGTTATTAATAATGGTTTATTTCCACAGCTGATCAAATATATAAAAACTTAGTCTTTATATAATTTTTGGCAAAAACAGCACGTAGATGGGTTTCTGTGTTAAATCGGTTTTGGTTTTTTTTTTTTTGCCGACCAAAAATGAAACACATATCTAATGAATTACTCGTGATAGGATCTCGTAAATTCGCTTTTCGGGTTCCAAATGAAAGCATTAAGCACCTTAAAGTATTTATTTTTTTAGAATTCAGGATAACAGAATGAATGGATAATCATTAAGATCTCTTTATACCTCGGTGTTTTAATCTTTAGTCGGTTAATGACAAACAACGAGGTAGCAAGAACGGTCATAACTACAACATAATTAATTCCAAATTATGTTCTCTTGAAAAGAACATCGCTTACACGTTTGTATAACCCTTTACTATGACTTTGAAAACGTTACTTCGACAAGTTATTGTTGAATCCGCGGTTCACTAATCTTGCATTTACAACCTAAAGTTACATGACATATTGTGTGCAATCGTGTGTACGTCAACGATTTCAGCAAAATGAAATTTCATTTCATTACGCTCTTCCTCAAAATTTCAAGAGAATAATGAACATTTAGGACAATAATTAGTGTCTTCAAGCTCAATTCAAAAAGTCTTAAATATTTCTATTAGATCAGATTTCGCACTTCACTGTCGGCGAAGGCCTTCACGAAGAATACGGCAACTTCCTGACGCGTTGTGAGAGTTCTATTGGTGTTGTGGGAATAATATGCTTGAGTTTCAGCTCTTCCTTTTCTAAAAACCATGAATGAAAATGAAAACATATTATGAAAAATATTTCTCGAAACAAGAAGTTTTTATCTGACATTTCAAAATAGGAACATTCTTCTATTCATTTGAATTTTTGACAATCATAAGTAGTTCAAAGAAAAAAATATCCCAATATTGGCCAATATTTTTTTATTAATTTTTTTGTGATTTTGAAACCTGGTCTGAAAAACAACTCCTTTTTTGGAAAATTGACTTACAAGATGGCAAAATAATGTCTTTTTAAATCAATACTTCTTCAATAAATTGATATTTAAAATAAGGGAATAAGATGATTCTGAAAGATTTGATCATTCTAACATTTTAAAAACGTGAGAAAGCTATATCATTTTTCAAAATATCATTTGAAATTTTTAAATTAATTTTGAAAGAGGAAACCCATGTTTTTCTAAAAAATATACAAAATGCTTAAAAAGAAATTTTATTATTGTTATATCCTCTTTATATAAGTGCATTTTGTCTTTGATGTTGTTTTTATAAAATAGTATTTTATATATTTTTATCATTATTTAACTATTTTTATTAGTTCTTAGGTTTTAAAATTATGATTATGATCATTATTTTTATTATTATTATTATTATTATTTGCCTTTTTTAGCTCTGTTGGTTTATATTTTAACCTAGAAGTTCCATTTTTTTAAATATTGTATTTAAAATGTTGTATTTAAAAGAAAACGACACCTAGCATTAATGTCTAGAATTCCATTGACATCTCAATATATTTTCCACTATTCAATTGATTCATATTCATCATCAGTTCTTAGTATTTTTCTTAATATTTTTCTTTTCTTTTTTCTTTTTTTCTTTTTCTTTTTCTTTTTTTACTTCTTTTTCTTAATAGTTAACAAAAATAGTAATTTTTCTGTTGGGTGTACACAACATGACATTTTAATATATTTTCCACTATTCAATTGATTCATACAGTATTTATTATCAGTTCTTAATATTTTTCTTTTCTTTTCTTTTCATTTTTTTTTTTTTATTACTTTTTTTCCTTAATAGTTAACAAAAATAGTAATTTTTCTTTTGGGTGTAACTATATTTTAATGAAAAACTTCCTCAATTATCTTCAATCTACATCTTTAATGGCCATTAGTTTTCTTATGTCACACACTGACTCTATCTTTTGAATAGTAATATTGGTTAGATTTAACACCCCGAGGCAGTATTTTCAAATGATAGATATATCTCCATTTAACACATAATGTATTTTGTCTCTCTTATATGCATAATGATATTGATATTATAAACAACTTAATCATCTATTTTGCTAAAACGCTTATCAGGTAAAAAACTAAATATATTTAGTTGAATATTTTTATTTTTTTATTTTTTGAAATAATATATCTTGAACTTAATTAAAAGCCTTAATAAATACTTGATCAAGAATATGAATATTTATATTGAACATATGTCTCGAAGTGTTTGAATATAAAGTAAATATATAAAGTGGCAACTTCCATAAATTTATAAACTAAATCTAGCCAAGTTATAAAAACAGAAGTTACTAGGGGAAAAAAAAGAAAAGAAAAAGAAAAAGAAAAAAGGTCAGATCAATCTTTCATAATAAGAGATCGATTTTTTTTGAGGAATTTTTTAAAGTTAAAGCTGTTGTCTTAGCAACAGTACTTTGAGATAACAACAGCCTTTTAAGAATACAAATACTTGTCAGAAATGTCTATTGAAATATGAGACAAAGATGACAAAATTTTAATAGCAACGAACTTACTATTCATTAATTAAGAAATATCAGATCTCTTAGTAAGAATATTAATGTTCTTCTGGCTAAAGCTTTTTGTACTATGTTATGAATTAAAAAGTTGTTGAAATTTTTACGAGCTGATGTTGTAATAGATATCTTCTGGTGATTATGATGATAACAATAATCATCATCATCATTATTATCATCATCACAATAAGCCTGAAGCGAGATGATATTTTACCCCCGTCTTTAGACCATAATCCTTTTCACATTGCTTTTGTTCTTTAATTATGACTATTGTTCCTGTATTCTCTAAAGAATCAAAAATTTTAATATGAAAGAATTTAAAAAACTATTGTGGTATAGAGTTGGGGGTAAAATGTCATCTCGCTTCAGGCTCATTTCTTTGTTAAATTCCTTTCCTTAAATTGCTTTTTCTTTATGATTTTTTGAGTTGTTTAAAATGGTTACTCTTTTTTAGTTTCTTAATAGACCCTTTTCCAGTTCTAAATTACCGCTGAGTTTCTTGATTACAGACTCGTTTACTCAGGCTTAGCCTCGATTTTGTGAAGAATATTCATGTGCCATATATTCATATTCACATATGCCATGGTTTGATCGCATTTTTCTTTGTCAATTGTAACGTTTTTTCATTTCCCTGACGATGGCTGAGTAGGCCAAAAGCTCGGATCATATTTATTAAATTTACGGTTGATAAAACAAACTATTATGAATATTCATGTGTTCCAGTCAAGGTCCGTCAAGTTTCAAAGTGTTTGTATTGTTGAAGTTGTGCCTTCTTTACTTTACCGTTGGTATTTGTGAATATTTAGACACTGATACGAGGCTAACCCTGAGTAAATGAGTCTGTAATCAAGAAACACAGTGGTAATTTGAAACTCGAAACTGGACTATTGACTTCGTAAACATACTGCTTCATAAATTTTCTCTATTTCCCCCCTTGGTATCCCATAATTCAAGATGGCTGCTGTATATTGACAAAAATGCCGTTTGGTCTAAAATTATCAGTAGATCAATTAATATTGGTACACTTAGATTAAAATACACAAAAACTATCCATACCCCCCTCACGGAGGAATTTTTTTAAGACACCCCCTACCCCCGGAAATTCCAATTTTCTTCCATACAAACTCTGTAATTTTTGTTCTTTCTCTGACCCCCCTACTCTTCAGAAATTCCAAATTCCTCTGTGGGGTGGGTATGGATGATTTCTGGAACTGCACAATAATGATGATTGAAAATCCATTCACATTAGATGCCCAAGGAATTGTTCATTTTTTCATGGTTTAAGTTTCCAGAGGTCATAGAGCATTGTCATATCAAATGAATGAAAACCCCTTAAGGCTGCGTTCATATTATATGGCAGAGGGAGGGGGGGGGGGAGCTAAATTTGACAAAACAATTCTTAAGACCACCC